TCTCTCACTTAATGTGAGGGATAAATTCCATCTTGATCACTCATATTCCTCTTTATTAATATTACTAAACTCAATTATAGCCTTTATGGTCACCTGATCAAAGGTGTGAAATATGTTATTAGCCTAATCTATTAATTTATAATTGAATAAGGCTGAAATGGGAGGAAAAATTAAGGGGCGAGTTTTTAAAAATCAAGATGATAGAAATTAAATATTCATTCTTGTGAGTATAGATATTTAAGATATTTTACTTTTAACAAACTTCAGGAGAGCCTTTTCAACATATTAGTATTTTCTGAAGTTTAACATCTTAATATTCTCCATAAATAACAAATGGAAATTTTAAATACTTTACTATTAAATAGATTAATTTATATATTATGAAATTTATAATATATGAAATTTAACACCATGAGATCCAAATTTCAAATATATTAATATCCATACTTTATCATATTTATAATTCTATGAAATCATGAGGATAGATCTAAATACTCAAACACATATTTCTTTTTCTAAATATTTAAATAGATAGATATTAATTTAAATTTAAATTCCACCACATATGTGCATATATGTACTCGATTATATGAATCTAGATTTTTGGCATATCTTTAAGGTGGATGGAAATCTTAAATAGATAGATATTAATTTGAATTCAAATATGTCATATTTGAATTTCAAATACGTAAAAAAATAATTTTTATATACATCTAAAAACTAATAATTCATCTTGCATCTAACTCCAAACCTGAATAATATATTTTTTATACATTAAAAAATAATAAAGCATCCCAAACCTAACCATAAACCTAATTTCAAAGCACAGAATCATTGGAAAGGCATTCAAAAATATAGAATTATAACAAACCTAAAAATGGATAAGTGGTATGTTTTTGTAGCCTTTAACCCTACTTTTATATTATAACTAGTAAAATACCCGTATGATGCATGAATCTTTTACAACAATATTTTTAAACAAGCATTAATGTTGCAAGAAAATTCTTCCTTTCTTTCAGCCTAGCTTGATCTTTTGTTTCTGTACTCTTAATTCCCTAGTTTAATGGAATTGCATCCTTTTGCTGGTGTAAAAAATAGATAGTGTATAAAAAAACTTCAACATTGCTTTTGCTATGTAAGGCAGAAAATGATGAGGTACTTGGAAGCTCTACATCCATGGAGGCTTTCGAAATCATCATAACCATAACTACAAACTTTTGGGCACATCACCTTAAAAATATGAGAAAAATCTAAAATTCCCTTCCCTTCTTGTAACTTTCACTAAAATGCTTGGTAAATGACTTTTAGAAATTTGTAAAAATTTGATCACCTACATAATATGTGTATAACTATAAGATAAAAAATAAGATAGTTAAATTTGGCATCACTTTAAAGAAGACAATAGACACAGACTTACATTAGCATCTTAAAAAAAAAAAATAATTCAAACCTTTTAAATTATTTGATGAAGTTCACTTAGCTATAATTTGTATATGAATCACTCAAACCATGATATACTGGTGGCCACACCTTACAGGAATCATAGCATGAACAACATCAATGAAATGAACAACCCAAGCTAACAAAATGTGAGATGATCAATACTCATGCAAATTAATGAAGAGATTGAAAAAAATAATAATGAGGCATTACAATATATAATAGACTCAAAAATGAATGAAATACAAGAAAAAACTAGAATCGACAATAATGAACATGTATCCATGCAGCTTTATCTATAATAAGTACTTATCCTAATGTTGGAGGGAATTTTGAATTTGAACTTCCAATCAAATGAAATTCAAATTAAAACCCAAAAAAAAAATAACTAATTAACGAAATAACCTATCAACGAATCTTAGTACAATTTAAAGTTAAATACAGTTAATCTTTGGACATTTACTTTGAATTCAAATAAAATACCGATCAAATATTAATCTTTCAATTCACACATACACACACATATAGTTTTTATTTTTCCGACATCAAATTGTGTTTGTGTGTGTGTGTATTCACATATATTCAATCATACCAAGCTTAATTTCCAAAATATCCTTCAAAAATTTTGGAAATCAGCCGAACAGATCATATTTGAATTTCAAATATATAAAAATTAATTTTTATATCCATACATAATATAAATATATAGACTTTAATTTGAATTCAAATATATATATATATATATATAGATACACATATAATAGATGGTATGGAGCTTAATTTTCATTATATCATCCAAAGTTTTTGAAAATCATCAAGAGAGATGGGATTTGAATTTTAAATAGATAAAAATTAATATATATACATCTAACACTAAACCTGAATAATATATTTTATATTAATATTTTCAAAACTGAACTGGATATTGAACAGGAAAGAGTAGTGATTCACAATTCACATGGTCAAACTACTAACTTAATAATTAAATAAATACAAGAAAAAAAATCTATAGTATGTTAATAAAATGACATAACATGGCTGAAATTAATAATATCATAAATTATAATTTCATAACTTGTCAAATATAGGTGGATCCTAATTGAATTAGATATGAGTAAATTCAAAAGTATTTATATTTGCATCTATAATTGTCAACATTTTTATAAAAAAAAATCTCATTCATATTTTTTATATGTGAATTGTCCAAAAATTAACTTGACTTTTAGTATAATCTAATTTTTAAATTTTTCTAGTTTTTTTGAAAAATTTAAGTTTTTTAATATGTGTTCAAAACTGTTAGGTTTTCTAAAAATTTCTTCAGTTCTCGATTTAACTCTGATTTTTGGCTCAATAGCAACTCAAGTCCAATCCAATCTATTTCAACTATAAAAATAGTTTTTTGGTCCAACTCTGATCGATGGTCCGACCATTCGATTTGGTTTAATTTTGAAATCATTGTTTTATATACATTAAAAAATAATAAATTATCTCAAACCTAACCCCAAGTCTAATTTCAAAGCACAAAATTATAAGAAAGGTATCTTGAAGCACAAAATTGCAAAAAACTTAAAAATGAATACGTGGCATTCTCTTGTTGCCTTTAACTTTACTTTTATATATATATATATATATATAATGATATTGTCTAAAAATCATTCAAGTTTCCCAAAAATTTTATGCCAATATTGTTTTACTTTTTTATTCATAGTTAAAAATTTTTAATTATTTAACAGTATTTATTTAGTATTTTTAAATAAAGGAAATGCACAAAATGGCTAAAATATTATTCAAACATGCATGTAGTTAAAAAAAATTTACGAAATAATAATTTAATATAATAAATTACTCCATGTAATTTAGGTTTATTTTTCTTTAAATTTCATTATTTTTAACACAAAAATTTTAAATTAATTATTTAAAGTTTCTTAAATTTGGAAAGGCACTAGGCAGTTAGATCATAAGGGAAGATTAATAATTTTAAAATTTTAAACATAATTGAAGATAAAAAATTAAGTATTTTATATAAATTTTTGGTGGAATATTCCTAGCGGGGTTAAAGATTATACTAAAATGTTGGTTTCGAAAATAGAGGAGAGGTCTCTATAATTTTAGAAAAACGGTGAGAGGTCACTATATTTACCCAATAAAATTTTCAAAAAAATATCTGTATTGATAAACAGAATTACAATTTTTAATGTCTTATTTATTCATTGAGTTTCCTATGTCACGCTACTAATCATGTCCTTTATCCAAGTTTTAGCCGAAAAAATCAGCAAGTTACTATTTCGCATGTATATTCTTTGAAACAAAAGAGCAAGAAAAATACATTCTCAATTCTTAAACAAATTAATGCTTCCCTAACCATCATTTTTTAGGAGCCCGGAACAAAAGTCCACAAAGCCATTTTTGACAATACTTTTTAATAAATTTAAAATATTGAGTCTGTTTCCGAGGTGTTTTTTTTTTTTTGACCAAAAAAATTGATAACTGCATCTTATAAAAAATTTCGAATCAAATTCACAGAGAAAAATCGAATCAATCTTGCTGAGCAGTTAAACATGGATATTCAATAAAAGGAACAAAATATTCTCTTATATTAATTATTTTTTATCATAATTAATACTTTTAATAGCAGTTCTGGACTCAACTGTTTCTGATTAAAAAAAGTATTTTCAAGAATATTTAGAGATTTTACAGAGAATAATATTTAGATTGTGAATATCATCTACCATAATGCGTGATCATTTTAAATTCCTCTCACCCTTGTCTTCTCATATGTATTGGATGTATTAGCACTCACCACTTACTACAAGTTCATTATTAAAATTCAAATTTTAAAATGTTTAACAAATAGTAAGATTAATATCCAATATTTATATGAAAGAAATCAATAACAATTATAATAGGTAGATTTCCAGCCTAGGAAGAGCGGATAAAGACTCCAAAATTGAATTCAAAGATACGAATGAAAATAATGGACAATATTTTAATTCAAAACATTACTGGAAATTTGCATCGTAAACAACAAATAAGTATATTACACAATTCTGAAGAATTACATTTACTTGTAGATTTTTTTTACGATAATTAGACTTCAAAGTTAAAAAACATTAGGGGTAGCAATTTAATAAATACTTAAAATCGGTTATAATTATACAAGACAGAATAGTTAGATCAATGTATTTAATTTAATAACATCATTACGCAATTTTACTAATTAGATTTTGCAATTAAAAAATAATAAGATATTGCAAAATAATAGGTAGATGGTGAATAACCCGAAGCCGTTGCCTAATATTACGTCGTCTTTTTAAAGCTGCATCACCCTAGTCTTCTTAATTAATAGAGGAAAAGGCAGAAAAATCCCATCTATGAAATATAATTAAAAACAAGGATTGCTGTCATTAATTATCTTTGAATGACAACATTATCACAGATTTCGTTGAGATTCTGAGTTTGACAATATCTCGTGATTTGAAACTGTATAGGGGTTTGTTTAAAATATCTATAAATAGGAGCGACTTACTGGAGAAAAATTATACGTGGTTTTGAATTGGAGAGATTCTTATCATCGAAGAAAAAGAAGATGGACGACTATTCTAATGGCTCACAGAAATCTGAGGGGCGACATGAACACGGGCAAGAGGTATGTATTAGTAATTGCTTTTAAAATCAAAATATCCTTTGTTTGATTAATTGCTGTGGCTTTTATGGAGATGGAAGCATTGGATCAAGAAGTAAGGAGAAAGAGAAGGAGGAATGAAGAGCTAGTGACTATGCTGCGTGAGTACAGTATGTCAATAACAATGGCTACTTATACAAACCTGCGGCTATGTGACTATATTGATTTGAATCCACCATATAAGCGGAGCAAGAGTATTGAAGATTTAAAGGAAGAACTAAAGATTCTTGAGGAAATTGATTACCATTTAACGTGCGCTTCTTATCACGAATTCAAGCATAAGGAAGCAATGGAGGTTTTGTATGATTATTACGAAAAACAACAAGAAGCATTGACACGTGAAAGGAATGATGAAGACTTAGAGAAAGAGCTCGAGATGCTACAGGAAACAACGCTTGCGGCAGAGACGGCTATATATCATTTTAAGAAGGAACGGGAAGCACGGGCTAGCTTTGAGAAGAAAATTAAAGCAAATTAAGAGCCATCCACGGCGAGGAGCATAGTGAATTATTTACTGTTCTTTAATTTTACTTTTCTTCTATATTTATCTTTTTGGAAGATATCTCATAATTTTTTTTTTATTTAAAGTGAAAAATTGAAAGTAAAAACATGCAATCTCATATATTATTTTTTTTTCTCAATTTCCTGTCTTGCTCATTTTTCTTTCATTAGGCGATTAAGAAAAAATTGACATTTTTTCGCTGATTTTCACGTTCACTTCTCGCCCAGAATTAATTTTCAGAAAACTCATTCTCGTCTGTGAAGTTCATTATTTCGTGCTCTGTATTCTTGTTTTCTTTTTAAAATTTTGCTTTTTGTTTGAGACTTGGCTTCTCTCTTTTTCCTCTTTCTTCATTTTCTTTCAACTTCATATCTCAATTATTCAATCTTTTTTTAATAATTGAGATTTAATGTTTCATAAAATTATTTTTTAACTTTTTAATTATAATCATAAATAGTCATAGTTTAGATAAAATTAATTATATTTTAAATTTATTTATTTATTTTCATACATTTCACATTTTAATTTTACAAAACATCAAAATTTAACAATTTAAAAATGAATTCAATAATTGAAATGAGAAGTTGAGAAGGAGCAAATTAAATAGAAGGGAAAATAGGAAGAAGCCAAGTCTAACTGCTCAAGTGTCGACAAAAAGCTCCTTCAAGGTATCAAAGAAAGTAGAACTTGAGAGGGAGAGAAACGCAATAGCAACCTCTTTGTAAGTAGAAGGTCACGAGTAGAGGTGTCAATTAGGGTCAGCCCGACCCTAAAGAGCCAGCCCTTCAAGGGCCAGGGCCTAAATGGGCTGGCCCTTTTAAGCTCGATTACACCTCAGGGCTCTATTTTTAGCAACTCAGCCCTAGCCCTCATGGCCTCAGCCTTATTTAATTTTTTTTTAATTTTTCAATTTAAAAATTTTTAAAAAACATATTTAAAATCCTAACAAAATTATTACACATCATATTAAGTCTAGGAAAATAAAATAAAATCAATTCACACAACAAAAATTTTAAGTTTGATAAAAGAAATAACATCCCAAAATTAACTCCGACATCAATTACACGTTGGTAGCATCATTAGTTAAATCTTGATGATTTTCATCATCATCAACATCAATATGATTTGATCATTCTCTTTGTAGATCCTCATTAATGGCAAATATATTAAGCTTTTCATATCTTCCTTTTTCATCCTCATTATTTGCAATAAATAATAAACCAAAATCATAATTTCAAGTTATTTAAAGAATGTAAAAATATTCAAAGTAAGTAAATAATAATATGCGTGTTTACTCTCTAGATTAGAGAGTAAGTGCTGAGCTTGAGTGATGTGGTGTCTTCTTTTTATATATATATTTTTATGTTTTTTTTAAATGTATTAGGGCTTAAAAGGGCCGGCCCTTTTATTTTCAGGCTTAAAGGGGCCCCCAATTTACCTTTTTAAAGACCGAAATAGTGGCCCAGCCCTTAATTTTTTCAGGCTTAAAATGGCCGGCTCTATGGGTTCGGCCCTAATTGACGACTTTAGTCACGAGTCTTATGCAGGCTTGTGACCTTAATTTCTTAGTGCTGCCCTTCTAATTAAAAAAAGAAAAACACAAGACGGCACAGTTGAATACACGCAAGTAATGAGTTGAAGTTCCTCAATTTCAAAGTGACAATTGCAACAAATCAAGTTTAGCCATATTCCATACCCAAAGTTGATTGAAGCTTTGTCCTGTGAAATCTTGGTTTGTCCTCCAAGACTGAGTTATGCTTCTGTTCCTACAATAGAATCGTCGTCCCCATCGACATCGAATTTGACCTTGAAATTTATGGTCACCAGAGAGCGTGGCAAGAATGGCAAGCTTATCAGTGCTCTGCTACTTCTCTATCATCCCTTAGTTCACCTTCTGTTTAATGAACAATTTAATTCCTCTAGATTACTGTAACGCGTTTGATTTTAGGGTCTCATTGTAGCTTCCCACATTATTGTACTTGCTTCTCCTGTTATCCGGCCATGTTCTTCAAGGTTTATGGGAGATATTACAATAATGATTTATCTTAGTTTAGCTCTACTACTTGAGCCTACATTCAGTCTCTAAGCAACTACTTGAGATTTCTTTATTATAACACAAGCTTAAGTAAGTGCTTGCCACCTCAATACAACCACAAGTTTAGTTTTAACACTTTTTTCAAGAGAATAACCTCTCTTGATTACAAGAAAATATCTCCCTCACCTTTAGAATGGTCTTGAGTATGTAAATTACTCAATTGAAAATCTCTTTATGAGTAATAAAGAGTACAATGAAGTTCTAATGCTCAAATGATGAAGCTATAAGTGATACTGGCTTAAGAATAATGATTTTCATATAACAAGAGTAATATAATCATGAACTTTATAGCTTGATAGTTTTTGAGGTTAATCTCTTGTTAAGATGAGCTTGAAGTGTTATATTTATAGCTCATGAAGTGAAACAAGTGTTAGAAATATCATATGACTATTTATAGACGTTACACAATGATTATAGTTATTGGTGACAAATCTTGTGTGCAATCAGAGCTAATTCAAGTGTGTTTTAGTGGTTTTACAAGCAACGGTGACATATCACATGTGTTTTGAAAGTGCTTCAAGTGTGTTTTGGAGTTTTCATAAGCAAAGGTGACATATCTTGCTCGGAACCTAACAAATCATGCAAGAAATGACAAATCACACAAGGAACAAAGTGTTTCATGCATGTTTTGGACCACAGAGGCTATTCAGTGAGAAATAAGGTCTGGATGACATTTCATGTGTGTGTACAAGATGTTTCACATATGATTTGGAGGGTGAGGCTATTTCAGGACAAATCACACGTATGTCTTAGTTGCTCTCACTTGTGATTTAGAGGGTATCACTGCACATAATTTCAAAAGATTTAGACTTACTCAATACAACTCTAAATCTGATAAATTATACATCATTAGAAAGCTCTTGAAGTCTAGTTTTTAATGAAATAATTTTCATACTCAAATTCAATGTAAATTTTGAGATATGATGAAAAGAGTGAATGAAGGCCAAGACTAAATGCTGTGTAGAATCAATATATCAACACTCAATTTTTATTTCTCAATAGAACTTCATTTTGAATAAATAAACTATCACTGAAAAAAATGTAGGAGTCTATTTTCAAATGCGATATGTTTCACATTGAAATGATCTATGTAATGAAAGATATGATAAGAAACATGACCAAAGGTCAAAACTAATTTTATGCACAATTACCTTTCTAAAGCTTAGGTTTCAAGTGTTCACAACTTTTTTAACTTAATTCCATTTTAAGTAAATAAAAAAAACTTTGAAAACTTTATGAAGTTATTAATCAAAACATTTTTTACCTTATGATATATATGTAAACAAACATAAAAAACATGATTATATAAAATTATATCTAACTCTTTCTCTTAAAAGCTAAAATGCATGTTTTAATTTAAGATATCATGAGCTAATATTTCATATCTAAATCAATGAGTTTAACATAGACTTCTAGCCTAATGATATTATATCTATGAAATCCAAGGCTTTCAAGATGCATCCAAGCTTGTTTGAATGTGTTAATTCTTCTTAAGTTCTTTTTGGATCATTCTTCTCTTTATGTTTACTCATCTTGAGTGTGGCATGCATGCTAATGATGTCTTTGATTTCTTCCTCTTCATGCTCACTTTTATCCTTACTATGGACAACCTTAAATGATATATCATGAATAAAATGGTTAGTCCAAGTGTCAATATGTATATATCCAAATTATGAAAGATGATATCATGAACACTCTTAGATATAGAATCAATTTAAGACAAGAAAAAATATAATAGTATAAAATAACTTTGATGCACACAAATCATTTTTTCAAATCTAATGTAATATGGAATAATATATAAAAACACTTTAAAGCACTTGCTCCATAGACATAGTTAACTACTATATACATAAAAACAATTACGCATAAATATAGTTAACTTATCTATATTTGTCATCATCAAAACTTAAACTAAACATAACGTCACAAGCCATTATATCCAACAAATAGATCCATTAGACTAATGTAATTGGCCATTGGAGTGTCTTTCTTCTTTCTTTATGTGTTCCTTCCAGAATGAGGTGTCAAAACATTGCTTTATAGTGAAATTGCATGTTTTCGGTGACTTAAGGAAAGTAGCGGCTATATACATTCAATGCTCCAACAAAATTATCATTAAGGTGAATACCGATAAAGCCCAATGCTATAGGGTATAAAGAAAAGTGAAAAACTTGTTAAGTATTTAATTCTACCTAATGTTGTGTTTAAAAGGTTTCTAGATAGGTGAATATGAGAGCCCAACACATAGAATATGAAAGAGATGAATAACAAGTGAGCTTCGGATTGCATAGAAAAGGGAATGAAAAATAGAGCATAAAAATTGATGTTTATACTAGAATAAGAAGCATTATACTGGTATAGTCAAGAACAATATGAGAATATGTGCTAAGATGTTGTTTGGATATAAAAGAATGATATTGGAATAGCTTTTCATAAAACATGGTGATTTGAGAGGATCTATTTGGGAATAAATATATTTATACCCAACTAAGCAAGCTTATACCTAAATAAAGCTAGATATTCCTGAATAAGGATGGCTATACCTAAATAAGATAGCTGTTTTGGAATAAAGAGAGATTATATAGGAATAAAGAAGCTATGTATGGGTACAAGGAAGCTTTATCCTAGTATAAGAAAGTTATATAGGAATAAGGGTAACTTATTTTGATCTAAGGCAATAGTGGAAGAGAATAAAGGATAGTTATACCGATATAAACATTTTTGTACCGAAATAAGCATTTAAGATAGCATGGCTCAGCTTCTAAAGGTCATGACTCTTCCATTTTAAATCCAAATTAGGAAAATGACCTATGGTTGGAAAGATCTAGATGTCTAGTTTCCAACATAATATGACCTATTGAAAATTCAATGTATTCTGAGAGATATAAT